GGGTTTAGGGTTTAGGGTTTAGGGTTTTGAAGGTTGAGAGTGTACCTTGTACAGTTTACCGCTCTTAGTTTTAGGGTTCAGTTTGCAGTGTTTAGTGTTTAGGGTTTATGATGCGTATTGTTTAGAGCAAGGTTTAAGGCTTGTGTATGTTTCATGTGTATTATTTAGGGTTTAGGGTTTAGGGTTTAGGGTTTAGGGTTTAGGGTTTGGGGTGTACATGCAGCTCGCAGGATGCATTTGTTCCCTTTTTGTCTCCGCTTTTATCTGTTTATAACTTTTTAGGGTTTAGGGTTTAGGGTTTAGGGTGTTTGGGGTGTACATGCAGCTCGCAGGATGCATTTGTTTCTTTTTTGTCTCCGCTTTTATCTGTTTATAACTACGACGGTTTTATTTCTGTCAAGACAAACGCCAGCAGAGTTATAGAGGGCCCCGCGTTATTTTTTAAAAGAAATAAATATGCAGTCTTACAAAGAGAAAGCAAAACCCTCTCCAAGGAACTCCTAGTAAACCCTAAACCCTAAACCCTAAACCCTAAACCCTAAACCCTTGTGCATGCGGCAGGTTTAAAACGCAGTTTTTCATTCAAACCCTAAACCCTAAACCCTCGTACTATGCACACTCTATAGCGGAGGCGTTTGCTTCGCGATTTAGGGTCTAGACTTTAGGGTTTAGGATTTAGGGTTTAGGGTTTAGGGTTTAGGGTCTAGGGTTTAGGGTTTGCTGCAGGAGAACGAAATGTTTACAGACCTCCGCGCCTCCCTCAACAGCAAATGGCCGAACCTCCTTGTGCGTTATAGCTGCCTATACACCGCAATTGTTTATACATACCCTAAACCCTAAACCCTAAACCCTATACACCCCAGCCCTTAAAGACTTAACCCTAAACCCTAAACCCTAAACCCTAAACCCTAAAGTCGCATACAGATGAGTCTGGTGCAGACCGTGTTTATCGTGAGAGTTTAAGGGTTTCAACTTAGGGTTTAGGGTTTAGGGTTTAGGGTTTAGGGTTTAGGGTTTAGGGTTTGTGGATCAGGCGGAAGTAATGCCTAAGTTAGGAACGATGGTGCAGCTGGCTGCACTTCGAGACAAACAAAACCCGAAAAATATCATCGTAGTTGCAAACACACATCTCTTCTTCCACCCCAATGCTAGCGTCAGGCTGCTGCTGCTGCTGCTGCTGCTGCTGCTGCTGCTGCTGTTCCCATTGCTGCTGCTGCTGCTTGTGTTGTTGGTGCTGGTGGTGCTGCTGCCGTTGCTGCTTTTCGTATTGTTGCTGCTGATGTTGCTGGTTCTGCTGCTGTTGCGGGTTCTGCTGCTGTTGTTGCTGCTGCTGCTGCTTGTCTTGCTGCTGCTGCTGCTGTTGTGGTGCTGCTGCTGCATCAGTCACTGCTGCTGCTGGTGCTTGCGGTATATTCCTTCTGTCTATTAAATGTTTTCTTGCGTTCGTTGCTGCTGCTGCTGCTGCTGTTGCTGCTGCTGTTGCTGCTGCAGCACGTGCGTATTATTCAGGTGTATGTCCTATGCCACTTGGTGGCTGCGTTTGCTGCTGCTGCTGCTTCTGCTGCTGCTGCTGCTGCTGCTGATGTTTCTATAATTCTTTGTGGGGACCTCAACTGTGATGAAGAGAGCGGAGGGTTTACTCTGCTTAACGATGCATTTATATCTAAAAGACACCCGGATTGGAAATACGGTAAACCCTAAACCCTAAACCCTAAACCCTAAACCCTAAACCCTACAGGGTTAACAGATAAAACAAACAGGTGGCTTCAGAAGTGCATAAAAAGAAGGATAAATGCGCATGAATCAGCAACTCAAGACAACGGTTTAGGGTTTAGGGTTTAGGGTTTAGGGTTTAGGGTTTTGGGTGTAGGGTTTAGGGTTTAGGGTTTAGGGTTTTCTTGCTCAGCCGCGACATACAGCTGGAATGCAGAGACCGCAAGCGAGTGCGAAGAGGCTGCAGAGGATGCAGCAGCAGCAGCAACCCCAGCAGCAGGAGGATCAGCAGAAGCAGCAGGAGGAGCAGCAGGAGCAGCAGCAGAAGTAGAGGGTTTAGACTTAGAGCTGCCGGTGTCTGTACACCTGAAAAGCTCTTATGCAACTACTTTCATGCCTTTTTCAAATTTTGCTGCTGACTTCCACGCAACTCTTGACCATATCTTTGTCTCTAAAAATATCCAGGTACGCTAAACCCTAAACCCTAAACCCTAAACCCTAGGGCGTAGGCATTCTGCGTGCTCTGTGCGAGGGTTTGACGCCTCAACCGCTTGGCTTTCTTATCACCGGGGTCTGGGTCCCTAAACTAGGGTTTAGGGTTTAGGGTTTAGGGTTTAGGGTTTAGGGTTTAATGTTAAAGGGCTAGAAAGGTTTTAAAAGTTTTTTTAAATAGTGATTAACAAGGTTTTAGGGTTTAGGGTTTATGGTTTTGACGTGTGAATTTGAATTGTCCTGTATTGCTTTCAAAGCCGTTTAAAAAATTTCTGAGGGTTTAGGGTTTAGGGTTTAGGGTTTAGGGTTTAGGGTTTAGGGTTTAGGGTTTGTGGGTGCAGGTGCTGCGCACTTTGCCTGGGGTGTCTCTGGAGACTGTCGCGAGTGAAGGAGGCATTCTTTCTGCTTTCTTTGCTTCTGATCATTTATCTTTAGCAGCAGACCTTCAGATAAACAAACCTAATTTAATTTAATATTATTTTATTTTATTTTATTATTGTTGTTGTTTAATATATAAATGCAGTAATTTATTTTCATGCATTTGGGGCAGCAGTTCGTCTGTCACAAATATATAAAATATATTTACTATGTGTATATATATATATATATATTATATATATATATATATATGTAGATATATATAATATATATATGCATTAATAGTATTAACCCTTATGTACATATGATATATATTCAGTATTATATATATATATGTATATATACATATATGTATCTATATACATATATGTATATATATATATATATATATATATATATATACGCTTGCCTATATTTTTATAGGCAGACGAA